TCCATCTTGAAGTAATCCTTAAGGTACATTTTTAAATCATAGCCCTATTTCTAACAAGAAACTTGATCACTCCAAGTTTTGTTGTCCACTAATTTTTAGCAAACCTTTCTAACTTGCATGTCATATTTGTGGTGCAACTATTTTCCAATAGTCATGGTGAGCTCTTCCAATTCCAATTTTATTATTTAACAGATTAGAGTAAAGTTTGCATGGTATACTACATTTCTAATTCTAATTTGAAAGCACACAGTAGGTGCACCCATGACTCTTTCCCTCTTACATTGTGATCCCTAGTTTTCTAGTTTTCAAACTCCTCTAACACGCACAACTCCTTTCCACAACTTGTACTTTTTCTCCTTTTTCTTGTCATCATCAAAAAATGTTAGGAAATTTTCAATCTGCTCTAAGAATAATGCTCTAGTAATGACAGCCTGCAGTTCTTTGGATCTGAATTTTATGTCACTAAGAACTTAATAAGACAGAAATCATGATAAGATTGATCTGAGTTAGCAGCTCAATAGGCAGAGTTCAAGTAAAGTGTTCTCTCCTAATATAAAATTAGAAGTACCATAGGGGAAAAGGTAATAATTACCTGTGGAATTGAAAGCTTGGAGTTGATATATTCCTTCATCTATTCAAGAATAAGGTCAGATAAAATTATGGCTTCATTATAGGTGATATGAAATGCAGGGAAATGATCAATACTAGTCAACCAACTTTTTGGAATATGGAGAGGGGATACGTATTTTGGGATAGATTCAATAAACATTTTTGTGAATCCTTCAATTAAAATGGTAAGTCTAGTCAAGATAATTTGGAAGAATAAATTCATCATTTTTTTTCTCTTTGAGGATCAGAAGGCAATCCATCATTGGAATTGCCAAGGCCTCTATTATAATTCAACTTGTGATTCAATGTGTTTCCTATAAATGGGGAACAAAGGTGCTATTTGGAAAAAATATGTTGCCAAAAAAATCATGTACTAATTCATTTAGGACAATTTGAGGACTAATTAGTGTTTTAAATCCAAAGTCTTGAATTTAGTACGTGATTAGGTGTAGGGAATAATCAATGGCATCAATGGAAAGTCCATTTTCAATGACTTCAAGCCGTTCACATTCTAATTTCATTGGATTATCTGCTTTAGGATTTTCTTCTCATAAATGTTTCTCGTCAAAATCAGAAATTATGATCTATCCACGGGTTGATTGTCTGTTGCACCTAAAAATTATAAAGATATTGTTGGAAACTCTAGAATCAGGACAATGGAATTGATTTAAGTTGGAGTAACTGCCCATGATTGAGGAAAAAATTACTCAAAGATTAGTGATAAGTCTTCATTATCATGAGTTAATAATTAGTAAATAATATAGTTTTAGCCTTAACTCATGATAAATAGACGTATATTTGTGTTAAATTGTGCAAAGTGGTTTTCAATTAAATAACATGATTTTTTTATTAATTATGTGGTTTTCTATGAATTTATATGATTTTTATAGTCTTATTTTTGAGATAAATGAAGAAAAAGAAATTAAAATAAAAATAGAGCAAAAGAGGGGGACTCGCCAACCAGCTGGGTCCGCAAACAGGTCGGAAGCACAATCGGGGGGAGCCGCAAATAAGGGCTTGAGCGGCTAGGACCTATTGGGGCACGTGTGCATCACTCCCCTTCCATGTCACTGGTGGCTAGTCAGCTATAGGGGAAAAAGTAGTCCTACACGTGGGAGAAAGAGACTCATTACTTGTAAATATGATATTACTATATATTCACCCAAAACTTTAGCACACAAGTAATGTGAGACTAAACCCACATCACACCTTCCCCTGAAAGGTTTCAAAAAATTTAATACTTAAACTACCCCTTAGTTATAACAGAGATATACTATGATGATGTCACTTGATAAGCACATTAGAGTACTTATTTCAATCTCTCTCATATAGACGAGCAACCGGCACGAGTTCGAATCCTCCTAGAGCTAAAACTCATATTTTTATCTGATTATCGCGACTTTTCTATAGATCGCTAGTGAAGAATTAAGTCGGCAGAATCGCTGAATCACTAGCAAAAATCTTGTCAACGTGATTTGCAGATCATTGTTATCAAAATTGTTAAATGATTCGTGATAAAAAGATCGCGAATCTATCGAGTAAATCATCTCTGATTAATCAACGAACAAGTCGTCGTTGGGAAAAAGATGATCCGCCAAGAGACGAGTTGCCACTTCTTGAGAGCGTACTAAATGCAATGAAAAGCCTCTTCTTGTTGCGTGGACTTGAGGATGAAGCTCCTTAAGACATGCCCCACCTCCATCTAGCTCCTCTCTGTCGGGTGATAGCTGCTAAAAAGCCGCAAAATTATTATTTTTTTGCTCCGTCAGGTGTCAACTGCCAGAGACGATTTGACGACTCGTTTCATTGATCTCTAGACTTTGCAAGGAGATCTAGAGATTGTCCATGTCATTCTTGTGCAAGAAGAGCCTTCAAGGCTATGGACACTGCATGACAATCCTCCCGAATGCTTAGGATTCTAGTGCATCGTCGATGCATCACCACCGTGATGCCAAAACTCTATTTTCCTATTTTCAACTTAATTTTTACTTCATTTAGTAATAATTTTTGTGATTTAAATTTATCAAACTATATCTCATTCAATTACAATTCTTCTTGCTTTTACAGATCTTAATTTGATCAATTAAATCATCTATAATCACTTAAATAAGAATTTCTAGGTAGAATTTTATTTTTTTCTGATTTGCAATCATCGTGCACTAACGTTATCTTGACATCTGCACCCTTATTTCTCTTTTTCGTAAATTTTAAATATATTCTATTTTTATTTCATAGTATAAAATTCATAGAAAATTATATTCTTTGAGAAAAATTCTAAAAATTATCCGATATTATATTACATCCTTATGATCTCAAACTATTTTTGGAAGTTTTATTGAATTGTAATTGATAGATTTGTTCACAAATACTTCTAAATATCTAAAAATTAGTACTTTCTAATTTTATAAATTTAAATTTACGTCATTTGCTGTACAATGACTAAGTCACATCAATTAGATATTTAAAAATTAAATATTTTATGTTAATCAAGATCTAAAAATATAGACGATCAATTTTTGATTGCAAAAAATAAGTGTGATTTTGAACCTTCAAAGAACTACCTTGAGAGAAATAATTTATATGCTTGACTCACATCTTAGAAGATGATAAAATGTAATCTTTTGAAGCTTCAGTTTAATATATAAGCAAACATTGGTGTTCAAGAAATTTCAGGGTTCAAGTTTGATCTCAAGGATTGAAGATTGAAAGATCAGAGCTATTGATTAGTGACAAGGAGAATGGGTTGTTTGGTTTAGGCCTCACCCTTGGAGATGAAATGAAGGATCAAATTTGATGAAAATATTTCAGATTATGGCCCCATTTGATGTGGCTCAAATGATTGATCAAATGGACAAAAATTAGGAAGAGTGCAAAAAAAATCATATTTTGATGAAATAAAATTGCAATGTGAAATTCATTCATCCTATTATAAATTTCGCTGACCTATTGCAGATATACTACAACAATTGATAAAAATTATTTCATAAAATATATTAAAATCCCTATACATTTCTATTATATTTTCTCTTCACTGATTTTCTACCTGCTACTTGGTTCCTTTGTTCTTCAATTGTTCTGATTTTATAACTTGATGACAAACCACAGATTAATTAACTCAGTATAAGGAAAACAAGGAATGAAATTGAAGCACCAGTCAACACATATTTGTTTATCGGGAACATGCATTCGATCAATTTGACAAAAATTCAAACTATATTTCTAAAATTAGAAATAGTCTTAGAATTTACATTTTAAAATTGAATTGAACGGGATCTAAGTTTTTCTACATATTTCAATCTTTCTTCTAAAATTTATAAATTTTAATGTTTACAAAGGTTTAATAAAAATATCTGCTTATGGAAATTGATTATCCATGAAACGCAAGGCAATATCATTTTCAGTCACATAATTTGAATAAATGATAATTGATATATTATCGAAGATCAATTACTCTTTATGAATAATAATTGATATTCTAGTCCTCCCTAAGCTAACTATTCTGCTTTTGTCCTGAAATGGGAATTTCATGAGATTGCTCTTTATTGATATTTGACCCATCAAAATGTAAGTGAAGCACAATTTGGCTATTCTGTATTCAGCTTCTGTCGTACATATTATTAACCTTGTGTTTATACGTCTTTCCTCCATTGGTAATTTCTTTCTCTCAAGTTCTTCTAAGACAAAGAGGAACCTAATTTTAAGGCTGAAAATCTTTGATTGGAAAGCTAGAACTGTCATAACAGAACTACACCAAAAATTGAGAATGTAATAAATATGAACAAACCATTGAATTTATGGAATCTTATGTTCACATCAATTATAATCTAAACATATAAATCAAAACACCCCTTCTTGATGCCTAAAAAGCTATTGGGAAAAATTATTTAATCGTGTTTTAATTATTGCGATTAATACAACAGTTTTTAGATGTAATCAGTGGCCTAATTGATTGCTTTACAGTCTTAAATACTCGATTAATTCACTTATACCATCAAGAGCAATCAACGAAGAGCACCTGTTGCCGCCTAGAGTCCATTCGAATCTAAGCCACGGGGGAATTTCATGAACCTCCTCTGTTCGCTCGTGAAGAGGCATATTGTTGTAAAGAGAGCTTGGCGGATTAGCATATCCAGGAGCCTCTTCCACCTTTTTTCCCAACAAAGATGATTAGAAAACGAACGCGGAACAGATTGAAGTCAGGTAGATCGACGGGGTATAAGACAACGACGCCGGGATAAGACAGTAAAAGGAAGTCAGTGCATCATATCACATTTCAGTAAGGGGACAATTCTACACATAAAACTTCACGGCAAGCCCTTTCTTGATATCAATATTCCTAAACGCATCACTGGTCACATATAGCTTGACGATTTACACAGCGCATTTCCCTGTCAGCGTCCTTCCAAAGTACTCTTGGTGAACTCAATAATGGTTGATCTCTGTGATCTGTCAGCGCAGACCCTGAGATTTATTCCAAACGAAAAAGTAGGTTTCTTCGGCAGTGGTAACACATAGTTTTTACTTGTCAGCATGGAGATGACAGAATTCATGGTAGGTCTGTCCACCGAATTTTCCTCGATGCACAGTAACCCTACTTGGATACACTTCAGCACTTCGTCGGCCTGGAATGAGCTCCCAATTGCCGGGTCAAGAAGTTCCACGGCCCTGCCTTCTTTCCACAGTTTCCACACGTGCACCATTGACTCACGAGCATATTAATTGTAAGGGAATGGGAAACATTCATAGAGAAATCCGCAGAAAAATATTATTCCGCAACTACTTCCTTGGACTGAACCTCATCTAGCAGCACAGCAAATCGCTCGAACTCACATATCCAAGAAGATTCAGCGACTCCCTGCATGGATAATACCCCGTGCTTCTCTTCCCAGGGATGACCTCCAATACGATCACGCCAAAGCTGAAGACATTGGATTTCTCAGAGAAGACGCCGTCTATCGCGTACTCCGGCGACATATATCCACTGCACACACAGGCCGACGGAAGCAAAATCGGTAACGATGAGAGGATCAAACGATAGAAGATTCGGGATTCGATTATAACTTACAATGTTCCCACGACCTTCCTAGTATTTCCTTCGGTTTGGTTTATTTCAAATATTCTCGCCAATCCAAAATCTGAGATCTTGGGGTTCATCTCGCTGTCGAGGAGTATGTTACTCGTCTTCAGATCTCTGTGTATGACACGCATTCTTGAGTGGTGATGCAGATAGAGAAGGCCATCGGCTATCCTTTCGATTATAGTGAAACGCTTCTCCCAACTGAGTTCTGCCGATCTAGCTGTTTCTCAGTAGTAAAACAAAACCAAATTAATTAATTATAAAAATTGCCAAGTTTGGATCCTTCTGGGTAGAATGGATTCATAGAACTTCAGGGAAGAGAAGCCCACCGAAGATGAGCTTGTCGAGGCTCTTATTGGGCATGTATTCGTAGATCAGAATCTTCTCGTCTTGGTAGGTGCACCAGCCCAGCAGACGAACGAGATTCTTGTGTTGGAGCCTGCCAATGAGTTTGACTTCATTGGCGAACTCGTGGTGGCCTTGCATGGAGCTCTTGGAGAGCCTCTTTACAGCTACCTCATGCCCACTCGCTAGCTTCCCCTGAAGAGAGTGTCACATGTACATGTCCTATATAAATATATCTATATATTTGTATGTACATCGAGAAAGAAAGAAAGGTGGAGAGAATGAGCGATTCATCCTACGCGGTTGGTGGTAATAACCTTGTAAACGGAACCAAATCCCCCTTCGCCGAGCTTGTTCGAGTCTGAGAAATTACAGGTCGCACACCGTAATTAGGGGCGCATCCGAGAAGCCTTTGTCGCTTTCAAATGTGTCACAGAAGTCAACGTCCTCTAACAAGATGCTGTTTCTGGACGTCCTCTTCCGGGCTTTGAGACGTACAAATTTGTCAGTTGCCCTACCCGTTCTTGGTAGAAAATAACATACAGGAGAACTTATTACCGCGTGATCTGAGAACGAGGAAATAGGAACCAGCTCCTACGAGGAGTGCACCGACAGCTAGTACCGGTGGCAGGAATTTGACTAATTCCTCGCTCTTATCAGCCAACAGGATCACAGAATCATGTTGGTTTGTCATGTGGGTGCTATAATAAAAACTCATGCGACAAATTGAAATCATGCTTACCCAGCTCTGATGCCTCCAGCCGTATGTTGAGGTTGGTCCACCGGTTTGGAGGATCACAAGATCTATGAGATCTCCGCTCCAAACCAGGCACGTAGTGCCCTCTGGGCGTACGCGAGCGGTGGCATAAGCGTAAGCAGTGCATTGGTGACTTGACAGGGACTCGACCTTGCAATCGGCTTCACTCATGTTTCCTTTCATCGTCCACCTATCCGGCAGCTTCAACCTCTCTGCCAGGAGAAACCTGTCTCCCATACTAAACAAAAGCGGAGCCCTCCTGACGCAGCCGCCGGTGAAGTTTCTCTTCGCCCACTCGGTCTGGTTCTTCGGATCAAACCCCTGTAGGCACCAGCAGGCCGGCAATTTCGCGCTGCCATCGCAAGTGCCGAACGGCCCGCAGCGACTATAGACGTCACAGAGCGCACTTGGTCTCGCCCATAATGGCACCCAATCATTCCTTGCCTGCATCTACAGCAGCATCTTCAGCTCTCCAGAGGGCTCCAGAGTGAACCTTGCTGGGGCAGAGGCCCCAATGATGCTGAAATTGAAAAAGACTTCATCTTCCAGCCTTGAGAACTTGATCACGCACTGAACTCCACGTACAGAGCTTGCTCCCCAGGCCCCGACGCTAGAATGACCTGCCAAAACGGGGCTTCTATAGAAGGTCTGATTTCCCCTCCAGATTTGAATTTGGAGATCGATCACCACGAAGAAGTCTCCGAAAGAGGGGTCGTCGGCGTCCGTCCACGCGATAACAGACTGGGGTACGAACGTTTTCTCGTTGTAGCGAATCTTCGTCTCCGGCAGAATAGTGTTGGTGGGGTGATCGAAGCTCTGCCAGACGTCCTGCCCGTTTCCTTGTCTCAGAACTAGATTGCCCGAGTCCAGAAGCATGGCCGCAGCGCCGCTGGGGACGTTGACCACGTCCGAGGACCAGACAGAGCTCCCATTCGAGTCCACAACGGCGATGTTCCTGTCTTCGGTCACGGTCAGGAAGGCGGCGGAGTCGCTGAGAGGTTTGTTCCTGTTAGCAACCCACACCACAGTCCTTTTGGGGATCTTATTGTACCATATCCCTAGGTAGCGAATTTTTCTCCCGAAGGACACGTTACCAGGGTCGAAGAAGCACCAGTACGTCGCGCGCAGCCCTCGCCGGAAGGTGGGGGGGCGCTATTGTGCACAGAAGAAGGATGAGGATGGAGAAAGAGTGCCCACCCATTGACCCGCAGTCTGGTACACACAGGTTTTCCGCTATATCGTCTCTAACCTCCTATCAAGGAAAAATGTGGAGAGACAGAGATGAGAAAGGAGAAACCGCCTCTCCATTTTAGACGGCGGAATTCAGATGGGCGAGCACCTTCCACCTCTCGAGCGGAAACTAGCGCACTGGTTTCCAGAAGTAACATCTTCGAATTGACGTCCTTCGCCCCCCTTCCCGAGTGGACCTCTAATCATCCGGTTTGCGAACTCCGACGGCCGAACACGGGCTCTTACATGGTTCCCCCATCTTTCCAGGGGCGGAACTCCGGGGGGCTATATAATTCACCAGCAGTCGCTGACCGTTGATTTTGCTTCTTCTCAAGACGCCAACAAACTTCTGCCGGGGTTTCTAAGGAAATGTAATTGGTTTACGAGTTGCCACGTCATCACAGCCAGCCACGTCATTATCAAATGACACATCATCCCTACAGCTGACGTGTCATAGCCACATCAACGCTTCGTTTGGTGAATCGACTCTTCCCCTTCATTTTGTATAAATATCTCTGTAATGATGATTAAAAGAAAAAAGAAAAGAGAGAAATATTAGAAGTTTGTTAGGTTGAGATTAACCAAATTCACCCGATTTAGGGTTTGGTCGCGAGAACCACCGTCGCCCCCGGTCAGTGGATTGGTCATGAGGAACCCGTCACCCCAGTAGGGTTGGTTGGTCGAGAGGACCCTGTCGCCCCGGTAGGGTTGGTCGCGAGGACCCCGCGCTTCCAGTCGGAGCTTGTGGCCCGAGACGCCACCGTCACGCGTCCTCCGGGCGCCGCCGCCCTTCTCGCCTCCTCCGCTTCACCCCTTCTCACCTCCGGGCGATACGTATCATCTCTGTCCCTGATAAAAATAAAGCATTATCTAGCACTACAAATTGAAGTGTGTGAATCTTGATTGCTCTTGTCCAATTTTAATTAAAAGATGGCCAAGAAAAAGCCCAAATTGTGAAGTCACTTAAATTGTGTGAGAACTAAATTTCTTACTCGGCGTCCATCTTGGAAGAGTACAACTTCAAGAGTACCCAATATCAGAAAGAAACAACGGCAAATTGCAGTGTACTTTATATATTTCCATCATTGAGACATACGTTATACGTATCTTAAACAGGAGTAAGAGCGCATTGATATAAAAGAAGGAAAAATAGCAAGCTAATGTCTACTTGCTCATAAGGTGGCATCTGCCCAACATTTTCTCTCGTTTAAGACATGATTTGCGACCAGTATCTTCCAAAATATTTATTTTTATTCTGTCTACTTCAGGTTTTGTACAGAATCTTGAAGTAAATGTTAAATTCAAAAGTAGTCAACATGGCTGCCTCTTTTTTAGTGAGAATGGTCAAAGTTTGGCAATTCAGAAATCCACGATGGTCAAAGCCGGCGATTATTAGATGCCTTAAGGAGTGATATGGGACCGGGAAAGCTCCCAGGGCCTCTTCCTCTTTCCTTGGCAGAGATGATTAGAAAACGAGCGCGTAAAGGATGAAAGCCAGGTAGAGAGGCGGCGTTGTCTTATACAACGCCGCCGCAATAGGGCAGACACTCAGCCACGACTGTAAGAGGGTGGTCAGTGCATCATATAACATATTTCAGTGACTGGATATTTGCACACATCAAATTTCAAGAAACGCCCTGTTTTGATCCGAATGATCGTATCCTACCGGCGTTGTCTTATACTCCGCGACCTCTATTTGGCCTCATCTGTTCCGCGCTCGCTTTCTGAACATCTCTTCCATAGGAGTAGTGTGACATCCCCGGAATCTCTCGACCGGGTTGAACTGGGAGAGACCACGTGAGACACGCGTAGGGAGGCGGGCGTCTCACACGCGCAACTGAAGCGCGGGCTACGCGGTAAAGCGGGAACTCGGCGGAGCGGGTCTCCCAGATCTCGACGGCCACGCCGGATCTACGAGAGATCCGGAACAGAGACGAAGTCGTCGAAGAGAGAAGCAGGAGGGAGAACGGATAATACGCCGGAGGATTATCCGGACTACTCCGGAAGGCGAGGGAGAATAATGCGGCGGAGGTTATTCCCCTCTCCCTCTATAAAAGGAAGGGTACTTGGCTCCCTTAACAGAAGGAGGAGAAGAGTAGAGAAGGAAGGGAAGCTTTGGACGAGAGACGTCCCGTCGGTTTGCGGAATTCTCGAGGAGGAGACGGGTGTTCGGGTGACGCCGGCGTAGCGGCGGAACACAGTTTCGGAGTCGGCTGAGAGCCTAGGGAAAAGAGAGCCGTCGTGTCAAGCTCCTTCTCCCATTTCTCCTTCCCCCTTTTAAGCTTTTGAGTTCAGTGGAATCCTTCCTCCGTGCCTTATCGCCGTAAGGTCAGGTGGAGCTTCCGCAGGTGACGAAAGGCTGCCTGGCGTTGACTGAGAACGGTCGGGGCCGGTCACGGGTGATTAAACCGGCGGTTCGGTCTTTTACTCCGTGACAAGTAGGCACTGGGTGTTTTCCTGTGTCCCGTATAGCCCTCTGGGACGTCTGATAACCGTCGGCTCGCAGTGTGCACGCCCCACACCGCAGATTCAGGAGAACCTGGGCTTTCCGATGCTCGAGTTAACGCTCGAAGCGACTTGACACTATCAACGAAGGTAGCGCAATGCGGTTTCCAATGTTGAAGCCCCCTCAAATGAAAAAGTCAGGCCTGATCCGTTTATTTGTGCAAAGGAAGCCCGATTGACCCCCAGCAGCCGAATTGTGATAATTCTGGAGAACGACTGGAATGAACATAGAATCCGTAGGCAATAACAGTTGCTTTTTTATAAAGAAAAAGGTTGTTGTGCAATAATTGTAAAAAATTTATTGGAAGTTAGTCATTCTTAGCATGATGAATTCCAAGTGGTTGACAATTTGTCTTACATATATGTATATATATATATATAGACATATATAAAATCATTATACGGTAGAATATAAAACTTAGCTCACAAAATATATATATATATATATATGAAGATGTTCCTCTTGTCCTATACAGACTTTTCTATATTGAAATTAGGATAAGATTAAGAAAAGTGAGTGCAAATGGTTCTATCAGGATTTTTCACTTATTTTGTGGAGGCATTCACATGTGGATTTAGACATGAAAAAGAAGTTATATCAAGAAAGCTACCTCTACTTATGATGTTTATAAAAATAATAAAAGACAAATGAAATACGCTACTTGAGTGCACAAATCTAGAAGAGAAGATTGAAGATAGTTTGAAAACTTAAGTGAACTTTTGATCATTTTATTAATGTTTCTAAAAATAAAAAATGTTGAATTTTATGTATTGAAAAGAATGAAAATTAAGATGAATAGTTTTGGATAGTTCATTTAGATATGGAACCATTTTTTATTTTTGATCTTGTAGGTAACTATTTCGAATAACATGAATATCTGAATATTTATCTGAATACCAACTCTAGCGAAAAAATGAGAAAATAAATGATTCATATAAAAAAAAAACTTTAACTTTGTAAGTCTTTTGCTTATTACTAGGGACTGGCAACATTCAAAGTTGAGGGTATTTGTTAAAACTATATTTTTATATTTTAATTAGTTTTATTATTTTATTTTTATATATTAAGTTGAAAAATAATTATAATAATATAGTATAAAGTTAATGTAATTTTTCATTATTAGAAAAATAAAAAAATATAATATAAAAATATTGCTGCCTACTAGTAAGTCGGCACTCAATAACTGACCTAGAGGGGCACTACGGTCAAGTGGCTAGACCCAAATCAGGGGAGCCACGAGCTAGGCTTGAGTGGTGAAGTACTTGCTTCGTGCACGTGTGTGTCACTCTCCTACAACATCCTAGTGGCCAACCAATTGTGGAACAAGGAGTGTTGTACACACATGTGCATACAAGGGTGGACTATCTTTTACCTTCTCCCAAGATGGTTTTGAGTATTATTTTACTTCAAGAGAAAACATCTCTACTTGTACAATGTAACTTTGATATATATGTTCAGTTCAGCTGCTAAAAAACTTTCATTGTGAGACTAAATATTTTCATTCATTGTAGGGTAGCAGTTTGAAGTGTGGTATGATCTAGTAGCACTTAATGGGCCACAATACCAAATATAAGAGATCCAATGACAAGCGAAGTGCCATGACACCAAAAGCGTAAAGTAATCCATTAGCGATTTGTGAATCCAGCACCACTCAACATGCATGTGACCAAAAATAATGATCCAACAATGACCAAGGCACCATAGTACCAAGGACCAAATATATCTAATTCAACAACACACGAAGTGCCACAATACCAGGAACTTTAGTTCTCGCATCTATCACCATCAAAGATATAAAGATAATAATCGATTATTATCTAGTAAAATAGATATTATTAATTATCTTTAAAATTCTAATGGTAGTCGCGAATATAGCATCCATTCTTCTCTCTTTGTATGTGATCAATGCCTCCGACAATCGACGAGCTCATTCCTTCCTCTCCTAACTGCACTCAAAGCCTCTGGCAAGTGGTCAACTCTTCCCTTCTCCCCCTAGATGACAATAATAGTGTGGTCAACCATTTTTTTTAGTAAATCTTTGTAGCAGGCGGCACAATACTTCTAAACAATACTTTTGTGACTTTCAACATGATGTGGCACATCTAAATGAAACTAAGCCACCACAATGATATCTCTAATTGCCCAAGAGGCAGACTAAACTTGGGGAATAATTTATTTCTTACTTTGTTCATTTATTTACATACTTTCAACATTTATTTATATTTTAAGATAAATTAAATTCATTTCATATATGTCTTGATTGAAATGAGTAGAACTAATTCAAATCCTCATAAATGATCTTTGTTCTTTTTCTGAATCTTCTAAAACTCATCTAAGATCAAGTTAAGATCATTTCTAACTTGTCTTCTATTAATTTTTCAGTCGAATCTTGACGTATATATGTTTTTGTTCTTCTACAAATAACAAGTATTTTTTATTTTCAAATAAAAAATCAATGAGATTAA